TCATAACGTATCAATTTTGAATCGATATAATTAATGGTACTTTTGTTCAATTTTCGTGGCATTGGCATGACTGTGTAAGTGCAGTTTGAAACATAAAAAAAGCTCAATGTGTATTTTTGAATAGACTTTCAAGGTGTTTTTAAAATATTTTTAATTTTGTTTTTTATATATTTTATTCTTTTATTATTTAATAATAACTTAAAAGGAACAGGGGCACACAAAATATGTAGTTGGCAATTCTCGTTATTTATATTTATTAATAGCCAATATTTAAACAAAATATATTGCTTGCCATTCAATTGGAATACAATTAACTTGTTTCAGTTATCGCCCAACTTTTCGTACAATACATTTATCATCATCGATGTTAATCGATTATTTGATTATGTTAATAACTGGGAATTTCGATTTTCACTCGTCCGTTTCCTGTATTACGTATGTACATTAAAATTTGTTTGGGACTCATTGATTTATATTCCAATTGAGTTAGTCTTTAATAATGTAACATGTGTTTTACTGATGTGCAAAAACGTAGTGCGGCTTGGACGATTGATTTTAAATGCGTTGTTTACTTAAGAACGAATATACGATGGTAGATTAATAACAGTAATCGAATATTTGAAGTGGCCGAATAGTTTTTAAGTGCACTTGTACTACGTGAACTCCCGAGCTCGAGTTACTGAAATTAGAAATTTAAAATCGAATTTCAAAAAACAAGTGATTGGGAAACCTTTGTAATTTCGAACGGTGCGTATTCACATAGCTATTTTTAGTTAACGCGTAACACTCAGTCTAGTCTGCATTGGCTCTGGCTAATACTCAACATATTTAAACATGAAACTCGATAAATCTTTCAATAGCACGCGCATTTACACAGGTTCTTGTATACGAATGTATTACAAATGTTTTCTTTTTGAAATCTGACTTCTCGACATCTGAAGTAAAAATCGGATGAAATTTATCAAACAATTGATAAAGCTACACGTTTCTCTGTGTGTTTGAGTGTTTTTTAACACGCTTTATATTAGCTTCACTTGTATGTATGTTTGTATGTTTGTAACAGATTCTTTTAGATGCGATTTTGACCCACTTTAAACAGCCAGATTTCATTCAAACTTTGTAGATTTATCGACAACTGATGACAATACACTAATTTGATAAGATTATTCCAGTATTCAATTTGCAAAATAAGATTTTTGCCAATTTATAGAATTTTTATCTATAGTCGATAAGGCAGGAATTGATGTTAAAGTACTTAATAGTTTTAAAAACACGCTTTTATAGAAAATCTAACTAAAAAATGAAAAATAAATAATTGCTTAAAAAAACTAAAAAACACGCTTTATATAAAATTCAACTAAAAAATTTAAAATAATTTTTTTGAAATAAAATATATTTTACACTATTTTCAACTTAAATTTATTAAAATTTATTTTCTATATTTTTGTTGAATTTAATATTAAGCGTGTTTGTAAATTTTTTTTAAACTATTATTTGTTTTTTTTTTTTTGTTAAGAGTAAAACATATTGAAATATTAAAAACTTGTTGCTTCTTTTCCCTACCCATTCGTTGGTAGCCTAAGGGGTTATTCTAGCTACGCCCGGATGGGTAGGTGAGCTCACGGACTCAACCTGAGAGAATTTGCTAACACTAGCCCCAGCAAGAGCAGTGCTTCGCAGAATCTACTACCGGATCGGAATAGCGATCCACTGAGCAGATCCGGTGAGAAACTCAGTGAGCTGTGTCTGTAGACTAGTTCCCTCGTCGAACTCTTACGACTCGAACGAGGACAGTGACCGATGCTTGAGAGGCTTAAAGCACCGAGAGTGAATCCGGGGGATCTGACAAATCATGTTTCAGGTGATGGAGTTTTGCGTTGCCCGGTCGCGGTCGGATAAGTAATTAACGGCGGCTACGATAACAGGGTTTTCGTGTCGCCCCGCTTTGTCGAAGTAGCGTTCTGACATTTCCATAAGATACTCACGTATCGGTACTCAATTTAGGTCGTCATGAAGATCTACTTTCCTCATATACCACGGTGTAACTTGTCGCGTTAGCTATCATAGATTAAGAGAATTTATCGAAAAACGCATAAGAATCAAAGGAACGACATTAGAAATTGCATTGTTACCGTAGTACGCAGTTTTTTACAATTTGATCCGCTGTGCGCGTGATTCACAGTTTTGCCTTAAACAATGCTGGGCATTATCCGACATATTAGAGCGTGGTTGAATGAATCCAAAAAAAAAAAAAAAATATTTGGCTTAGCCCGAAATATGAATAATGATTTCCGTTGAAACAATTGGTACTTTTGCATAATTTTATTTACTATTTTATTAACATAAACAGATAATTCATCTCATTCACGAGCTTCTTCGTTAAATTACTATTTTACGATTTTGTATTCTTGATGAACGATAGTTAGACATAAAACAGATGGAATGATTAGTTTCAGCCATAATTTTATCGACTTTGTATTAACACAGGAAATATGTAACTAAGTGTACTAATCCGGTATAAAGTATACATAAAAATAAATAAATTGCCAATAATGATTTTTTTAACGTATTACTATGGTAAATAATTTATTTTTGAAGCTACTTATGCACCACATAACTCGGTCTTCGGAGAGATCGTCCCTGCCCGGGCTTGTTCTTCCTGCCTTCATGGCAAGGGTGACATTTTTGCTAGTATGACCAGTGCAACAAAAACCCACTTGTGTAAGATTTATGCATTCTTTGATATTAATGAGTTTCGCTGAAGTGTCAAACACCACCATATACTCGTTAGTTTAAGTTTTATCGAGTCATCCAACGACTTATTACGGGCATGAATGGTAAATGAACAAACAAAACAATGGATATTCAGTTTTATATATTTCATGTATTTCATGTATTATTTAGGCCTACAATTTTACCGTTTACTTCTTTACACTACTAATATTTTTTCAATATTTTATCTAATATGTTTTGTTTTGAAATTATTGTTTAGTTAGTGGACATCGTTATAAAGATAACATAGTTTTAACGCTGTCTCTGGAACTCATCAATATGTAAAACGAAAGGTTTGACAATGAATGCGCTATCCCACAACGATTGGATGGATGAACGTAAAATTGTGCGGAATTCTCTTTCTGAATTCACTCATGAATACTTTGTAAACTGATTGCAAACCACCTTTGGATGTGCCTCCATGTTTCATGTAGCATAAAAACAGTTTTCCGATAAAGGCCGCAATAGGATACTGACAATGACAAAAAGGACCACGCGAATAACGCTGATGTGAAACATGCACATCCCTCCGTGCACATATTTTGTTACAAAATCCAAAGCTACGTTAATCATTTAGGTAAAATAATTTTTGTCTTGTAAATCTACACGACAACACAATCTGCTTACGCTCGAGGAGATTTTATTAATTACCATAGCGTGTTTTGCTATAGTATAAAAGGAGAGTATGTTATTCATTGGTCATAATATGATCCTGAATAATTCGGTTGTTTGAGAATGAGAAATCAATAAAACCTTTTATAACATTCGAATTTCAATAGTTCATTTTAACGTATTACCACTGTCTGTTTTGGTAATGAGTTTGCCGGCATACAGACGTAGTATTGATAATGGCAGTATAATATTCGGGGAGGATGCGAACTTGATAATTATATATCACAGCGCTGCTTTAAAATATATTGTGGACATAATTATGATTTACCAATAAGCCGGTTTGTAAACGAGGCTTAAATTGAATCGGTACAAGTGTTAAATTCACTTCAGGAACATACAATTTAGTTTACTGATATTGCATACGGTATTCCTCATTAACGAAAGACGAGAGCTTTGATTTAATTAAATTGCATTCAAAATGATTGCCACGCATACTCAATGTGTTCATTAGTGACGTAGTTTAAGATGAGAGAAAATTTGAATTAGCTGAGCAAATTTAATTTGTTGGAAAGATTACTATCGACCAAAATGCCGTGGCCTACTTGTGCCATAAATTAGTTAACTTAATGACGACGTGGAATATGATGTCCTTATGAATTGAGACTTTGATTTCACGTCTACAAGTAGCAACCGATATTTATATTACATGCTGATGATACTGCGTAAATTATAATTTCTGCGAGACTTATTTTTATTACAGTGTTATTTCTTCATTATACAAGTCGTTCGTGAACATATTATTAGGCTAAATACGTATTTCTTTGAATAGTTTTGTAGCTGCCTGCGAGAATTGGGACCGGTGCAGACGTATCACGAATACTTCTAACGATTGACGATTTCTCGCAATAGATTTGTATAGAGAAAATAAGCAGTCTTATTAGGGACTATACTTCATTATGCGTCTTTACCTAAAATTATTTTGATATTTTGTCCGATGTCTGCAATACCTAAAAAAACTATAATACTATACTAAATATTAAAGTAGGTATTGTAGATGATTAACACTTGGTTAAAATCAATTACTTGTGTACATGTGTCTGGTTTATCGTGTTAAGTAATCTATGTAGTACTTACCTTGAGAAAATCCACGCATCAGCCAAATTAGTACGGAAAAACAGGTTTGCATACTAGACACAAAATTACAATATACATATTTTTAAGTTAAGAAGGACATGAGCACGATATCGCTAATGCAAATAGAGTTCTAATTAAAGTTGTCTATTTCATATTTAAAGATAATTGTCAATTGTATGTTTTAAAATCTGCTTTTCAATTGAACTTAATACACTTCATTACATCTTTGTGAAAAGTACACGTAAATGAATTAACAATAACAAGGTAACTTGATGAAATAGCTTAATCCCTCACTCGCTTGTAACTGGTTGTAATTTCATGCATTTTGATCTGTTCCAATGGTCAGTCGAATTTGCACAACACAAAGCCCGTACAGACGGACATTCCTGTTGCTTAGCCAAGGGTGATTCATTAATGCATCGCCCGTCACACTGCTTTTCGGCGCATTACCTTGATCGTACTCAATTATTATTCAGGAAATTATGGAAGAAGAAGAAGCAACATTAGAAGGCCAGTTCCACGAGTTTTCTCGTCTTCTCGATAATAAGAGAGACGGTAATACTATGACTCTTTACCGTTCCGATTATTGGATGCGTCAGAGCAAAGTTCTAGATGACCGAAAGGTCACCATGACTGACACTGGAGTGCTGTGGTGGAAGTACTGGTGAGAACCATCACGATTTTGGTATTTTTTTCGTTTTGAACATTACCTGAAACTCATTCACATCCAAACTGTGATGGACTGTGTCTTCGTGTATCGCCATCGTGAGATTAGTACTATAATAGCATCAGTCTTGTGGAAGCAGCAAATGGCTGTGTTTCAACCCAATCCCTAATCACTACAAATTCAGAAGTCACCGTTTTAACCCCCTAGATGGGAAGAAGATGAGATGTAGTTTAATCTGATTTACCAAACTTTTTTGTTTTATCCAGACTAAACAAAGATCAAGTAGTGATGAACATGCTCGCATTCTATTCGTTTTTTTTTATCTCATTAGTTGTTTGAGTCCTGTTTTAATTCCAAACAGCTTAATTTCTTTACTAAATTCGTCCACAATTAGTGTTCTTCATTTTATCAAAATTGCAACTTGCACATCATGACTTTTAGTATTTCCAACTGTGATTTCTCTTCTTCGTCGTTCCCTCATTTCTAAGAATCGCGATCACACGTATGTAAGTATTTCCATGTGGATCGGTCCACTGCGAGATAGAACGCCCGTTGAATGCTGCCCCCGTTGTATCCATCCCATGATGTCCCACAATTTTGATGGTGCCCTTCAGGATACCAACTCTGATAGACTAACGAAATATTGCATTGGTGTTTCGTGTATAATTTGTTTTGTATTTGTAAATAATTTGTTTTTCAGCAAAACGGAACTAAACTGGCAGGAATGGTATGATTTTTTCACTGATCTGTGTGAACTTAAAGGATTAGATCAAGAATTTGTGGAGACTATGATGACGAACTGCGGTATACCAGGGTCGTCACCTGTTCTCATACCTCAGTTTAGAGATTTCTTCGACACATTTAAACCAAAAGAAAAACTGCCGTTTTGAAATAGTGTGATTTGGAAGTCTAATTCAGTAATTTGATTTTTAGCAATCACTTTAAGTTACATTATGTCATTATTTCAATTTAAAATATAAGACTAAAAGGTTTTTTTTTATATTTTACATCAAGATAATTTACAAAATTCCATAAAAATATTATTAAAAAAAATCAGAACACTTAATGTTCAGTCTGATATTTAATTTTATTTATATGTTAATTAATAATAATATATTTCAATTGTCTTTAAAATACATGCAATGAGACAAAATAAATAAAGAAGCAGTAGGCGGCAGTTTTGCCTCAATTACTATTTGGTAATGCTTTTGAAGAAATATTAGGCATTATATTTACATTTTTCCATCCACACATTCCATCTCTTTTCATCGACAGCAGAAAATAACGTTAGTAATGTGGAAATGCTTTTAATTTGAAATGAAATGTGTGTTTGAGTAGAAATAAACGTAACAAAATATGATTTCTAAGAAACATATAGAAATTGAGATCGTACATTAGTGTTAGTTGGTGAGTGATTCCCTTCGTTTCATTTTTATTAGTGAAGTACTTAATTCATTTCTTGTTTTCTTTACTACGCTTGCTTTGCTGTGCTTCCAATGCGTTAATTTAAAGCTGTTTCTAAATAATTATATATCTAAATGAATTTTCTATTTGTCCACACAGCTCTAGATAATATTTTAATGTTCATCTCGTTCTAGTCTCATCAATTTTCTTTCAGACTCCCTGAAATTAAATTCGATGATCCTCTGGAACTAGTTTTAGGTGCGTTCTATGAAACCGTTGCAAGCACGTGTCAAATGCACTATATCATGAAGACGTTGACAGCATTCACACCATCACACGATTCACAACACTAGCTGTTGTGTTAGTCAGCGTAAAGCTAGTAGCGTTAATATGTGCACACAACCGGAACTAAAACTCACCTTCCTCGTATACGAACTGGGTATATTTTTGAGTACATGACTGATTCTGTAGATGCGGGAGCGCATCTCGTTCCTTTGTCTCCTGCAGCCTCACGGGCGTTCCAATCGTGTTCGACGAGAGCAACAGGCTGTCGGTTATGACTGCAGAAGAAACTTTGATCATTATTGTGTCATTGAAAATCCTGAAGCGTTACATTCTGTTGTATCTGGAAGACGGTGTATCATAAGCCTTATGGCTAGCGCTGGACGTCATTTAGTTCAAACTGGCTGGCTAGGTTATAATCTAATTATCATTACTTAAAAATGGTATGATATAAACTATTGAATTAGGGACTATTAAAAACACGTTTCTCCTCAATTCACTACTCAAAAAGAAGTGCCACATTGGTTCGTTTTACAGCAGTGAACCTATTATAAGGGGCTTATTGTGAAATAAATCCCTTATTGGGGACCTTAAGGGGAATCACAATAGTCCCGAAATATATATTTGTACAAACGTACAGCTTGACGGGTAGCTCTCGTGAAAACAGCACGTGACTAAATGCTGTTACTTACTCTTGAATTCGCAAAATTTCCATGGATACTTTCGTACTTTTAAGCTCATGGCCTCTTGTTGGCATAGTCCGGAATTATCGTGTTTTTTTTTTTTTTGTATTGGTGTCGTGTATTTCGTTAGTACGATGTGTTTCATATTAAATACGAGTATTAAACATTATATATAATTTAAAATAGGAAGCGTATCTGTTTTATCGAAGCGTAATTATTTTATTGAATATGGACACATTTTCAATGCTTATGGAATTTTAACAAAAGATATTTCGCTGAACACGTTGACAATGAAAACATAAAATATGATGATATGTTTTTCTCTATTGTTTGAGTTTCACGAATTTTACAATGAACAAATAAAACCGATACTGAAATGAGCAGCAATGGCACATTTCCGAATCGACTAAGTATACAGAGTGTGTAGTAGTTTCATGCAAAACCTAATTTATTAATTTTGAGCTGTTGAGTGACAGCCCTAATTTTATCAAGGCTATTCATTCAATTAAACGCGTCAGAAGGAGATAGACATTACATTAACAAATTCAAGGGTTGACAGAATAGTTTGTTCATAGGAACATAATATATATTATTGTCAAATCGATTCTTTTATTAGAAAATTATCTGCTGTTTTTACTAATCAGACATACTTGTATACTGCAAGCAAACTAGATTATTCTCAAGTGGTATTAGTAATAGTCGTGGTACTACTTTCATATAAATCTGGCAAATCAAGTAACACTTTCAGCACATAAAATAATTATTAAGTAAGTGCTTTAATTCAGTTCTTTGATTTCGACTAATAGCATATTATGGTTCACACACGCTTTAATACAGAATTGATCGGTGAAATCACGGCCTATCTGACGTTAAGCGGTCACTGGAGCTCACATATATTAATATAATATATGCATATAGCATATATTAACGTAGGTATTAATTAAAGCGCTAGTTCTAAGTCTCAACTGTAAATTATAGAGGCTACCACTTTTTTAATTGTATTTTTTTGGTCTGATTTTTTATAGCCGTTCTGGTCTGACGAAGTAGACGAAAAGGCGATCATTTTTAACTTGATTTGTTTACTGGAGTAATGTACTAAATAAATACAGATATTTCAAATAAACACAAGTAAGCGTGTATAAAAACCCTTCGGACAATAACCTTTCAGTGTAGCCGAGATGCCATAGTGGTGAGTCCTAAAATGTATAAGGACTTGTTCTTGAAATCACGACATCGATGAAAAATTATAGGAAAATCTACTTTAAAACAACAACCGGAGAATATTATTTTGACTGTGTTAGCTATAAATAAGGCTCTTGTGATATTACTATGAAAGACCAAGACGTCTCGAGAAAATATGATTTTTAAAAAGCATCATTTTTCGTCACAAAGCTCGTTTATTTGCGAACTTTACTGAAATGCGTTCTAACATAGTATTAATGTAAAAAAGAAACGTTTTTAGAAAGATGTGTGTTTACATCGACCCATGCAATGAGTTTATGACGAGGGCGATGTTTCGTAGTATTTCCTCAGTTTTTGACTTTATGAAAAAGAGAAAAAAATTATGAATTACGAAAAAAGTCACTAAGCATTTAAAAACGATGCACACGGATTAAATTTGTCATTCATTAATGGATATTGTAAAACTAATTAGCTGTTAGCTACATTATTCTCATCGATCTCAATTTTCTTATTAATAATAATATGATATTTAAATGATACCCTTAAATAAATCATTCTAATAAATAATAACTACCTAGCTTTAAGGCCTAAGGAATCTTTCGATTTGAACATTACTTCTGAGAATTTTCGTCACGCCCGTATATACTACATTAACTTTACAAATGCTGTCAGTATTAGCTACAGAATCACCAAGCACTCCTTATTTATTTATTTACTCTTCTTCTTTTTACTTATAGTTTATTTTAAATAGCTTTCAGTATTTAAATTCATTATTACAATAATATTGCAGTTAAATCTATTAAAATACAGTTAATTATAGAGCAGTTTCACCGTCAAACTCGATGCAAAGGAAATCCATTCACCTTGTAAGTAGATTCAAACCTTATTTCTTTGGGTTATAAAATTTGTATCCTGACATCGTCAACTAAATGAAGCGTCAACGAAATTTGGACCCTAAGCTGTTCAACTTTTAAGAGTGCTTTTCGAAATTGTAAAAGGTGAATTTGATATTATAATTGACCTTAACCGCGTTAGGATAAGATACTTTCGACTACTTTTGTCCCATTAACCTAAAGATCTTGAGTTAGATCCTAGAATCGGGCCAGTAAAGTACAATTTAGGAAACCCAGACAATCTATTCGACTGATATTACAGCAATCGTAAGAGAAATACTATGCATTGAAACACCTCATTAAATCACGTACTACTTTGTAATTGAGTTGACATTACGCATTTTTAATTAGCATGTATTATTAGATTTACAAAAAAAAAAGGTTATATGATAATAGATTTGGGTTATATGATAATAGATTTAAAAAATGTACATGCCAATTGAATGCTTGTTCGGTAATTCTTTTATTTGTCTAACGATATTTACTTCCAAAAAGTTTTTGTATTTTCATTTGTCAATATAAAATATCCTCAAATACAAAAAAGTTATCCATTAAGTAGTGTAATATAATAATTCAAGTCGCGTCAGGATAATATACTAAATTTCCACATAAACTGCAGGTTTAACACAAGAGAAACCGTCCAATTCATAAAGACATTTGATTCCCACAGTGGATCTTTAGATGAGGCGTCTTCCTAAAATGGACGTTTAAGTGCTCGTTTGAAACACGTGTAATCTACCTATCAGTAACACATCGTAATATCGTTATTTTATTTTGCACGTGTAGTCAGTACTTTGAACGTAACTGTGTCTTGACTTTAGGTCCGGCATAAAAATCGATTTTTATTATCATTAGCAATAACATCATTATTTATGAAAATCTCATTTCTATACAGAATGGTAAATATCAACAATGATGTTTATGATTCATAGCAGTTGAAGAGTACTCGGCGATAGGGACCAGCTCGAGGGTGTGGCCTTGACATACAGTATCCACATACTATCAGATGGACCGTAGGCCCCGCCAAGCTTTAGCCAGCTTTAGCTTTATCTTCACTAGGAAGATGAATGTGGAATTAATTTAGAACCGCAAAAAAATTAAAATTATTTTTTTAACTGATATATTGTTGGTATCTAACGCCCATTACGTACGTACCTACTGGCCTCTACTACGTTTTATAAGTATTTTGAAACTCTTTGAAACATCGGCGGTCGAAAGGTTATTCAAACTTCACTCGACTGTGTTACATACATTTTTTTTTTCTTGCTTAGATGGCTGGACGAGCTCACAGCCCACCTGGTGTTAGGTGGTTACTGGAGCCCATAGACATCTACAACGTAAAAGCGCCACCCACATTGAGATATAAGTTCTAAGATCTCAGTATAGTTACACATTATGACGAATTCCATGAACTGCTTTCGAGTCGACCGTACTTTATCGACAAAT